CTGCCATAGACCGCCACTCTGGACTTTGTAATATTTAATAATCAAAAGAATATAATAAATGGGAGTATCCCCAAACAAATCTCCCAGTCTGGACATTAAACTAATTGGAGCGCGTCAAATGCCTGGATTCCCCCGCACCCAGAAGCGACTAAAAGGTTGGATTGGATAGTCGCTACAACTGGTTTCAGCTTCTTTGTTTTGTTTTTAGCCCAAAGTTTTTATTCTGCTACTTTTAGCCAGTGTTTTGCTACTTTTAGCTTTTAGTAAAACTTTTGCAACATAAACTGTGTTTTGTTTTGTATTAGGTATCAGCATCAACAGGAGGCACCTGAACGCGTCACAGGATGAACCTGAACGCGTCACAGCAGCCACCTCAGAAGCCGGATCACAGGAGGTACTTGAGTTCATAAGGAAGCCTGAACGCATCACAGCAGGCAACTGAATGTATCACAAAAGGCACTTGAACGCATCACAGGATTCGTCCTGTGATTCATCACATTTATTATTTATCCTCTCACATAAGTCTTATATTGTGTGTAAAGGACACACTTTTGAATAAATTAGAAGCTATTTCCTGATTTCTAATGTATTTTAACAGGTTGTTAAATATATTTTTACCTACATAAATAAACACCTGATTTAACGATTAGAGAAAGATTCTTCATTAAACTAGTTGCATTGTCCTGTTTTTAAACTCAGTTATAAATCAGATAATTAAATTAATGTGACAAATTATCCCAAACAAGCTTAGAGGAGGTTTTTACATTTATTTAAAAGATTGATATGTGGATGTTTGGAACTGATTAAAAAGCTAATGATGGATGGATTGACAGATTTATTTACTGACCTTTAAATCCCAATTACGAAAACCTATGTCTACCACTTCGTACAAATAAAACTTAAAATTAAAAAAGCCTATCACTTTTATACTGGTCAAAATAAAATGAAATTGTTAATCATGTTATAGATTATCTTTAGATCAATAATTCATTACATTAAGTTCACATAGCTGACTAGAATGTACGTTAATTAACATTTTATTTTTCCTTCACACCTGCCCATCACCTCATCTCTTACCTGAGACCCTCTGTTCTACCTGCTGCCTCTGACTCTCTGTATCCAGTTCTACATCAACAGATAAAGTATCATGTTTTTACTGCCACCTGAATTCAGTCAGCTTTAAAAAGTCAAGAAAATAACATGCAAATCATGAAGCTAGCAGATTAGAGAAATAATCACTGACTTATGAATGAATTATAACAGGGAATCAATAAATATCATCAGAGTGGACCACTCAATCTTAGCATTACAATAAAGTTTAACTGATTAAAAAAAACAACTCAATAATATATAAATGATTGCTAATGTAAGCTGATAGATACAGTGGTTTGCAAAAGTATTCATACCCCTTGAACTTTTCCATATTTTGTCACATTACAACCACAAACATAAATATATTTCACTGGAATTTAATGTGAAAGACCAACACAAAGTGGTATACAATTGTGAAGTGTGTAGAAGATACTCCAACATAACTTCTCATATTTAACCTAATTAATATCGACTAATATTAATATAGTTAATATA